GCTTGCCGCCGAGAAAGGGAGAGGGGATCAAATTCGAAAGAGCCCATCGACAATTTAAATACGATCGTTCGAAATTTGATCGTCGCCGATCACTTAAAAAGTACGCGAGACCAAAGTGATAAATGCAACATTCACTCGCGATTCCCAAACGACGCGGCGTACGCATATCGCGGACATAGGTAGGAGCATCTTTTATGCAACCATCGTAAAAAAAAAAAGAAGATGAAGTTTTGTCAGTTCGACAATATCTCTGTCATCGCTCGTGTATCGCATATGCGCCCCAGCCAGAGATATCTACCACTTTTTACGGTGGTTACATAAAAAGCGGATTTTTTCCCCGGGTACGTCTGTGTGTACCCTATATGCAACGTGCGTACTAATCCAAAGGAAATGAATACTGGAGACCGATATCCTGCTGCGTATTGATGAACGCCCGCGGAATTCGCCGAGCCGTGCGGGGATTCGCTCCGTGCCATGAATCTCCCTATTCACGGGGGCAGTCGTTTTCCCCGTTGGCGCGAGATTTTTCCCGCGCGACGAGGAAAGCAAACAGTTTCGCCCGGGGCCGCGACGGAAATATGATTCCCGCGACGTCTCGTAAAAACGACTTGGCTTCATTTCGCTGGATTATGCGGCACCCCTTTCGCCTGATTTACTTCGCCAAGGCCAAGGGGAGGTACAGCACGGAGGAGTCAAGGCAAAAAGGAGACAATAGGGGAAGCATAGGACAGAGGTGACGAGAAGACAAAAAGAGGAATTCGAAGCAACGAACGGGGAGAGAGAGAGAGAGAGAGAGGGAGAGAGGGAGAGGAATAATCGACGGCAGACGGCGACTTCCGGAAGATTACACGAGCCGGAGGCTGCAGTTTACTCCATTTGGCAAGCTCGATATTCACCGGGCCGCCTTCTCAACCAGACTACCCCCACCCTCCTCCTCCCTGACCGTCGACGAATGAAATACGCCCTCGCCTGAATTTCAAACGGCGCTGCAAATCGAATCAGGCCCGCTATGAATCTTCCGGCTGAAGCCGAGGAGAACGAAACTGGTGAAGTTTTGAGGAAGAGGCGATGGGTGTGTTTGCACATTCGAGAGACAAGGGTGATTTAAAAGGCCAACGTGGCCGACGGGGACTAATCAACTCCATTGAATGAATAATGCCCTGAAATAGCCTGGGGTGGAATGGGGGGGGGGCCGCGGGGTGACGCGCCGCACCCCGACGAAGATCCGTCTGGATTTAGAACGCGAGATTATTTTTAACGGAGGCTCTTCACACAATCGCGAGATATCGTTGCGCGCAGATATATTAGCGGGGCTCGATAGTGCGCAATTTATTTGACGTTTAATATCAGTTTCAATTCGTCGAATATTGGATCAATCGAAATAATCAACGAAGACTCGGGTTTGCCAGCCAGTTAATGGGATGAGAGTCACGATGAAATGCGACGTGATAGTTAATTAGTCTGATGCGCGGATTTCCATGGCACGACAGTCGGCGAATATTTTGCGCCGCTTCCACGTTTACACGCATGCCCGAAGGGAAACACTTGCGTATACGTGCAAAGGCAACGTGTATCGCTGTGCGCCTACGTGGAGTTTAACTTTCACGCCGCGGGATAATTATTTTAAGCTTCCCGACTATCGGAATTTAATGTCCACAATGAGCGACGCGCTCAAGATATCTTGTAAAATTAGCATCACTGTCGTTATAATCCGTACTTAGTTGTGTGTGGCGTTTAATCTCATTATGCCACTTCGCTCGCAACGAATTGAGGATAAAAATTATAGGTATATCAGAACAATAATTAATATCGCGAATACAGAGAATTATGAGTAGAAAAATCGATTTCTAAAAGGCGTTTCCAACATTTCTGAATTTGGTACCGTTAGTGTTGCCAAGTTGTCCTCTATCATCTTTGTTTTACTTTTTGGACTACTTCTTTAATTTTCCCTTTATGGCCGGGACCGAGGGGTAAACCGAGGGCACTGTGATGTACAGATTTGCGGCATTACTGGGCATTACTAGGCATTAGTTTGGGCCTTGCTGGGGCATTATAGATAGATAAAATAGATAAAATAAGACAAAACAAGATAAATAAGATAAAGTAATGCCCAATGGGCACTGGTGGGCATTGGTGTACGTGATTTTGGTCAGCGGTTAATCCCTCGGCTGGAACTAATATATGGAGACTCACGAGAGTCAGTCGCGATAGAAGGACGACTTTCACTCTTGACATATAGATTTTAATAATTTTCTTAATAATTTTGCCTCACGATTTTACTCGCTCTTTTCTCAAGCTCACTGGAGAAGACCCGAAGAAGGGTCGAAACGCTTTAAAGGAATTTTCCAACGTTTAAATTTTGAGAACTGATTTCTGTTCATTTATTGGCTCGCATTGGCATTCTCCCCTTACCGTTTCTATTTACGAATTCCTTTCATACTGCGAATCTGAATATCAGTGACGGTAAATAAAATTTATTTTTCTTTGAAATTATTCACATTTCTTCAAAGTTGTATAAAGCTATTCGTATATTTTCCTATATGGCATACAATTCCTTACTTAACGTTGTCCGGAAAAACCACACTCGAGAAAGAATATAAAAAGAATAATACGCGCATGACAGAGCCATAGCAATTGTATTTTTCTTTTCACATGCCACTTAAGGATTACAGAGACAAGATCTAATAATATGCTATCTAATCGCTTAGAATCACTGAAGTGCTGGTGCTAAACTCTCGAGAAGCAATAGGATTAGTTTCACGGCAAATTGGATAAGACCGCTCGATGGAACGGAAGCGAACGAGCGAGCGGAGGGGGAACCTAGATGACACGGTTTCCTGCACGCGTTACAAATCGATTCACGGAAGCGCGAGGAAGTTCGCGCGGACCGAGCGCATCCGGATCCGCGGCTCGCGTCTTGAAGGTCCGCGCGTAATAATCGCCGATCAAACGGCGATTAAGGAACGGCGTGTCGTGAACGCAATCGTCGCTCGTAGATTAGATTCCCGCACTTACCGGGAACGGCGAAGGGGGATCGTTAGCGCTAATGACTCGGGGGCAAATAATTGTCCGTAACGTCTTCTTGCGCGTGTAATTTACGAGGAGACATCGCGCAGCAACGATATGAAACTGCAATTACGTCATGATAAACTTCGACGTATGCGCCGAGATAGCCGTCGCGCTATCTCGTAAAACATTTGTAATATCGCGTCTCGATTTGGTCGGCTGCTGTCGTCAATAACTGAACTTTCGCTCTCTTCCGGCCGCCGGTAAAACTTCTGCCGTAATAAATCGAGCTGAACATATTATTACATGGTTTACTTTCGTAGCGTTTAATAATCACGAGACTGGGATCATCGTAACGCCGCGTCAATATTATTACGAGCGTTACGAACTTTGTAACTTGAGAACATCATTTTGCGGAAACTATTGAAAGTTCTGCCTTTATTTTTAATAGCTCTATAATTCATAATGTTTAACCTCTGATAAGCTGATAAGACGACATCAAACTAGCAGCGCAGACATTCATCAAAATGGCACGCGATTCAAATTCATTATATTATTAGTAAGTATGAATTAATACAAAATACGTAAATAACCGATGTTCCAATTGATCTGGTTTGATTGTGCCAAGCTTAATAGAGAATAATTTTCAATGGGTTAAATAAATAATCCTGGCCGTGCCAAAAAGCTGTTTCAAAATTAAAACGTCAGATTCATATGGCGTTTCAGTTCATCTTGCGCGAGTTCTCTTAGCACTTTAAGGAATTTATGTAATTTCATATGAAAAAGTGCTGTCTTTTAAAAGCGAAAAATATCAAATATAATTGAATAGAAACGAGCAAACGTTGTTACAAGTGTACCAAGTTAAAAAAGACGTAGACTTCGTACTAGACGTACATTTCCCCTCGTTATAAAGTAGTTTCCACGTTGTTCCGTAGTTATTTGTGCGTTGCAGTAAGAGTTCTAACAATAAATATAATAATTAAATACTTCTTAAACAATTTGGATCATCCGAGGCAGGCAAATCTATGTGTATTGAAGCGCTTCCCGAGAAATCCGTGTATTCTAAAGTAGTTGTGCATTCTTAGCAAATTTAAATCAACTTTGTATTTAAATCAACAACTATAGAACTATTAAAACCAGACCTCTCGATACGAGTTCCTTCGAAATGATACAGCTTCGCCGAGGGGGGAAACCACTGACCAAAATCTTGTACTGATGCCCAGTGGGCATTACTTTATCTTATTATCTTATTTTATGTATCTTATTTATCTTGTTTTATCTGATTTTATCGTTATAATGCCCCAGCAAGGCCTAAAATGCCCAGTAATGCCCAGTAATGCCGCAAATCTGTATATCACAATGCCCTCAGCGATTTCCCCCTCGGGCTTCGCTCACACACGCGTCTTCAGAACATGATTTCTTTTTTTTAAAACTACAGAGCAACAAATTTTGTACCTTAGCAACTTTTCGCAACAAGTAAAATATTAATTAAAATTAATTCTGCTCATTTTGTTTCGCTGACTTATAAGACGTTGCTCACACATCGGTGATCAATTTGCAGAAATGCAGGACACGCGTTGCGGTAACTGTTAATCGTGTCATCTGTGTAATTAATCAGATAAATGCCTACGATAAGACATTACCGTTCGCGTTTAATTATACACAAATGAGCTCTACTTTCGCGCCGAGGGGAGAATTTCAGCAATCACGTTATTAATGTTGGTGAAACAACGTTGAAATCCTTGATATAAAATTCTTATTAAATTTATACAAAAGATTTCGACTCCGAGTGTCCACGACGAGCAATGTCATTACGCCAATTTTGATATAGCAATATCGAAGTTAGCGTCAACTGGCATACTTTAAGTCGGGCGAGACGTGTAAATTAAAGGAAACGCGAACGCACGTGACGACTGTTATTCTTCCCTCGGTCGCGACTACTTGCTAACAATCTCCTTGTCTCGGCAACTTTTTGCCACCAACTTTCTACTTACGTGTCTCGTGTCGGCTGCGAGAAGAGGAGTGTGTGCCTGCAACAACCGAGCGTTCAGGGAATTAGAAGAGAGGTCGCGTGAGTTTTTGCTCTTTGCTAGCTTGGAGCTTCATGCTTCCGGCAAGGCCATTCATCTCGCGTCGGATTCCAAAAAATGACCAAAATAACGCGGGCATCGTTTCATCAGGAATATCGTTTAACGCAAACGTTGTACAAGTTATTCCACACCCGTATGACTTCATGTTAAAGATTTGCATTCGGGAGCGTATTCCTTGATGAATTTTAACGAACGCATGATGAATCGTAATTATGAAATTATCCAACAAGGAGGATTGCGGAATTTTCGCGGATTAAACCTCACGGGCGCGGATAAATCGTTATTATTCACCGCGTGTAGCTCTCACTTTAACTAGATTAGAACCGAAATTTAATCTACAGTTTTGCCAACAAACTATAAAGATATAAACTGTTTCCAAATTCACCACGGTGTACGCTCGTGCAGCTTATAATGCAAACATTACAAAACGTTTTATATTATTGCGCGCGAAATGCATGTAGCCGTCCAAACTAATTTATTCGTCTATTTATTACTGTGTAAACTTTTACGATCAACAAATCCGCTTGCTCTTACATCGAAGTAATCAAGGTGATAATGATTTCGCGTGTAGGCGGAAATTTTTGGTCAGCTTTTTGAAAGTTCCTTCAGTGCTTAGGAATTGTAGAGGGGAAGTGGTCTCTAGGGAGCTCTGCTCGCATGCTGTACAACACGTGTATCTGTATCGGGAGATTATTCGTGCAAAATTAGATTTGAAAAAAAAATATATATATAGAACGGGGACATTTCTCCAGCCGGCAGCGGCGTCGTTTTTGTTGATTCGGTTAAACGGTTAAGTTCGCGAGCATTTAGATGCCTTCCTTCGCGATGCAAATTTGCTCCTTTTGCATACCGCGCGCTTATTAAACGCGGCGAGCTCATTAAAAGCGGAAGTTGACAACGGCGCGTGCGAGCACGAAATTCTCCGCTTCGCATAATTATCGCGCCCGCGATAACTGAACTTCGCGCCGCAATGTAACGACGAATTTCACCGCGTCTCCGCGTGATAATATCGCGGGATAAATGGCGGGCTTTAAAACGCAGGCTCGATGTCGGTCGTTAAAATATTACGCGGCATCCGAGTCGATGGTTCGAAACATCGATCCGCTCATTGTGCGGAAATGCGCACAGGCAAAATCAATGTTACTGCAATGTTACTAGATTAAAATACCTGTCCGGCACACTCTGTGGGCAAACGAAAAAAAAACAGAGAGAGATAAAAGGTTGCTCGAAGAAGGAAATGGGCGTGGATGTAATTTTCATTCGATTAAATTCAAGGAGAGAAAGAGACACGCCGTCCTCGTTTTCCCAACGCAATTCCAGGCGGCTGTTTCCGAGATTTCCTGATCGTTTTCGCGTGTACAAGGTCCCGGGACATTCTGCAAATCTGATAAATCTCTCGGCGGCGAAGAAAACGCGAGGTTGTGTCAACGCGGGGGAAAATATTTTCCCACCGTTGCTCAATTAATATGCAGCCCTGGCCACGATTGTACTTGTCGGCGTTTCATGTATTAAATCAAGTATTGGCACTTGCAATTTTATGTCGTTACTTCGTCATTAAGCGAGACATATTGATTTGTACGACGCACAATGTATGTCGGGTTGTAATCGACACATAATGGAGTTAGGACACGACTGCGCACTTCTGATCCGTGAAAACGATAAAGCAAATTTAAAAGATTGGAAACTGGTTCGTTCCATTAGTCAGGCTATCGCATTCAATGCCACAAATTAATTTGCATTCCAGTATTTCCAGTCGCGCGCTCTATCCCGAGTAAACGCACGCGCACGGAATCGCGTTCTAATTAAAAGTCTCTCTTAAAGGGACCATCGAGGGTCGAGGGAGTCGTGAGGATAAATATCGACTTTGTTAAGCGAGGACATTGTTAAAATTGTAACCAGAGAGATTGAAAGATATCGCGGCGCTCTTCCCGATTGCATTACACAATCCATTAACTTGAGTACGGACGTCCCTGGAAGAAGGACATCGGAATTATTAATCGGCACGGGGTCGTTACTGTTAATAACGATGGCGCTGCCTTTCCCGAAAATTCTTACCGGCGGAACGGCGACCCTCAATTTTCCAGGGCCGAGCGCGGCGAGTGGCCGCGTGTGTACGGCCAAATTGAATTTCATATTTCGCTGCGCATCGCGAGTCGGGTTTCCGGCGCGCCCCTCCGACGTCCCCTCGTAATTAATTGCCCTTCAAGCCTATCCCGCCTACGGTGCGCGACCCGGGGAGGGAAAGAGTTTGCCTCGACGCTAGCGAAATCAGCGTCCTAATTTCCCTTTCTTGCCATCGCTCTCGATGCGACAAGGCGATACCCAAGGGATGAACCACTGATCAAAATCATGTACACCAATGCCTGCTAATGCACTAAACTTCGACAGTAATGCCCGGTGGGCATTACTTTATCTTGTTATCTTCCTCTGTGTTATTTTATCTCGTTTTATCTTATCTTTTTAGATTCTTTTGATTTCATTTTTTCCTCATTTTAGCTTTTTAGATTCTATATAATGTCACTATCGGTTTGCGAGACTGTTTACCTTATTTTTCTCTAATTGTACCTATTTTCTAATCTTTTAATCGAGGGGGAAACCGCTGACCAAAATCTTGTATGTACACCAATGCCCACTAATGCCCAGTGGGCATTACTTTATATTATTATCTTATTGTATCTCATTTATCTTGTTTTCTCTTATTTTATCTTTATAATGTCCCAGCAAGGCCCAGTTCTCCCAAACTAATGTCCCAAAAATGCCTAGTAATGCCCAGTAATGCCGCAAATCTGTACACCACAATGCCCTCAGCGCTTTCCCCCTCGGCATTTTTTGGGTATTATAAAGATAAAATAAGATAAAACGAGATAAATAAAAATGAGATAATGAGATAAAGTAATGCCCACTGGGCATTAGTGTACATGATTTTGGTTGGTGGTTTACCTCTCGGTATTTACATGAAAGGAGCAATTATAAATTATTTATTAAAAAATTTTGCGTTATAATATCCCAGTAAGGCCAAATACGAGGCCAAATAGCACCAATGCCCAAAAAATGCCTAGTAATGCCTAGTAACGCCGTAAATCTATACGTCACAATGCCCTCAGCGGTTTACCCCTTGGCGATCCCCTTCGCTCTATTTTCCGTGCGGATTCGAAAGGAGCGGCACGTTAACGAAGATGTATCGTCGCGATTAGCCCGATCGCCGAAAAAACGTTTTCTCGATGAGCGACGATTCGTGCAATCGCTTTAATTTGTTCGCGCAAGCCCCGCAGGGGGATTAATACGAGTTCGCCGAACTCGAAGCACGGCGGCACAGATGGATTATAATTAATAATTAGAAAGCCTATATAATCTCCGCCCGCTCGCGAAATACCTGCGTTTCACGAAGCTAACGGTGCGAGGAGGGCACTTTGACAGATCAATTTAATTACCTGACGTAATATTTTCTGCCGTCTATTGTTTTTAACTCGTGCTCGACATCACAAAACATTTCCGTGCCGCGAGATAGCAAACTTTGTTCGCGAAAAAAAAAGTGAGGAAAAGAAAGGAAGGAAAAGGGACGGTGAAGGGGCGCGCTGAAATAAAACGCGGCGCGGTTCTTTCTTTTATCGCGCGGAACAACGAAAAAGAGCGTTCGGTTTCTCCCGTCGTTTCTTCGTTTTGTTTTATGTACAACGGTGCTATCATGTTCCGGGACCGAAGCATCGGAGGGGGAGGAGGATCTTTTTTTCCGTGGAAAAATCGGGAAAATTGAATTTTCACCGGCACGGCGGGGGATCGAGAGCGCGGCGATACACGCACGGGGTTGGGGGTGGGGCACAGACGCGGGAAGACAAAGTGACAAGCGGCCAGAGATGCAGCGATCGCCGGAAATGCTCGTGGACGTATTACACCGTGATTTCCGGCGGTGCGATATCGATCGCGATATTCCGTTCGCGCCCCCGAAACACATTTGCGTGCGCGCGCGTACCCTTTATCGTCTCGAATTTTCCGTTGCGGAGGATATTGCCCATAAATCTGTCCCTCGCGATTTAGTTCGATACCTACAAACGCCGGGAAAATCTTTTTTTTTTTTTAATATATCGCGACACAACATTTCATTTCTCTTTCTCTCCCTTTAATTTTGTTTCAAATCAACGCGAATTTCTCGCGCGCGTTTCGAAAATTTCGAAGTTTGTCAATGAATTCAGTATTCCGGCCATTGCGGAGCGAACGGCAAATAAAATCTGACGAAACATAACAAAATTAAGAGGGATGGGGAAAAAAAGCGGAGAGCGCGCAGAGAGCGTAGCGAGGGTCGGTAAACCGAAAGGTAAAATTCTTCCGCCGCACAGCAGCGGGCGAGAGTTCACGGGCTGAATTTCGCGTCGTCGAGATTCTCAGCGGGGAAACAAAGGAGGAAGAAGAAAAAAAATGTCGCAGGACAAACAAATTTAAGAAGCGGAAATCCACGCTTGTCGGCACCATTGTCGCCGAGGATTGTCGAGGATGTCGAAGATGTCGAGGACGCGAAGCGGCGCGGCATGACGCCGCTAATGCATTTTGGGGCACGTGCCTCCTCCCTCCCCCCACCCCTCCGCCCCCTCTGACAAGGCCCACGTACTTTGCTTAGGCAAAGAGAATCGCCGGGATTCGGTTACACATTTACACATTTATGGAATATCGATTTTCGTCGGCGGACCGCGTCGACGGGGAAATTATTCATATATTCGTCGTCGGCGAGACATACCCAAGGGTTGTCCGCGTCAAAGCCACGCGAGATTGTACCGCTGCCAGGCCAGATCGATCCGCGCGGACAACAAGCGAGTGCAGCGGGGGGGGGGGGGTAGGGGTCGGCAAAAGGAGCAAATTGAAAGCAACCTCTCTTGTTGTCGGGCAAATTTTTAACTTTAGCACAGGACTGGCGCGCGCGAGACACACGGCGGAAGTTCGCGCGACGT